TCGGGTCGGCTCGCGCCTCCGGCTAAATCATTACCGCGCTGCTGCCGCCGGCCGAGCAGGGAGCTGACTGAGGCGCGCGGTATTTGAAAAAGGTGTTCGCGAACCTAAATCAACATGTGTTTATTCCCGATTTGCAACAATTAGCTCAGAAAAAGTATAGGGTGTCCCCCTCATCGTCGTCGTCGTCGTACGGGGGGCGATGATTAGCAACCACCCCTCTCTTCTTTTGCATCAGCTGACTGCTACCTCACACGCGTCGTCGTCGTCGTCGTCGTCGTGAAGAAAAAAAAAACGGAAGGAGAAAATATACACCTCGCGCTTTCTTCGTCTTCTTTACGCGCGAGAGTCTTGTGATGTGTGTATCGGGAAAATTATCGGTGTCACTCATGTATAGTTGAGCGCTGACCGGATGATCGAATCATGGCCGCGCGAGTATGTTGAGCGGAAATAGTAAATGGCACGACGACACGCTGGTGTGTGGTTCAGCTGACAATAATCGAAGATGTCTCAATTATCCAAGCGACTGTCACGCGAGCTGGGGATGACTCTCTATCGCTCGCTCGCTCTCCCTTGCTCTCTCGCTCGCTCTCCCAACACACGAACATAGTCGTGTGATTTGACTTTCGCAGTAATGACAGGCAGAGGGGCGCGTGCAGGTATATAGGAGTTGGGGCCGGCCGTCGACGTTGGCCTCGGACATTGTAAATTTACCCTCGCGTTTCCGCCCGACGACGATAGCTTATCGATTATATTAACGTCGTCGACGAGAGAGACCAAACAAGAAAATTTAACCACCCCATTCATTGTGTTATTTGCACGCGCGGGTCGTGAGAGGGTGAAGGTCAGTCGTCCTTTTTTAACGAATGCACACGTCCTTTTCCGAATCGGAACCTGTCATCGTAAGGTACATTTTTATTGACTTTTACGGCAAAGCCTTTTTAATGACTTGTCGTCAATTAATCGTTTTACTGGGGAAGGGGCGGGGAGTGCGCGCAGCTCACCTTTTGCAACTGTATGTGGGTGACCGGTCCCGCCTTTTACGACCGTGTGCCTGACTTGCGCCTGGCGCCGGTCGTCGCTTTGCCCCTCCTCCTCCCTGCGCGCCCGATTTATTTACAGTTTGTTACGTTTCATTAATATATTTTCCCAAAACGGATCCCCACCCGACTTCCTGCGAGATGGGATAACATGGATCATCCCAAGCGTAGAAGAGGTCCCCCCTCCGGTCTCTCATTAGGGCAGAGCGGCGTTCTGAATATGAGCAAGACAAATCGTCTATCAACGGCTCACCTCATCCTTGCTCTCCCTCGCGCTCTCCCCCCGCGCCCCTTTCTCTCCTCGGCCGCCCTCTCTTTTTTCCCAGCGCTCTCCTTCCCGTCTCTCTCTCTCTTTCTCTCTCTCTCTCTAAAACGAGGTGCACTGGTGATGAGATTTCAACGAGCAGCACATTGAAATAATAAAGAGGACCAACAGCGGCGCTGCCTAATGTCGACGCGCTCCTCGGGATCTCAAAACACTGGCCGTCTTTGTCGCACGCCCTCCTAACGAGGTGTCATTCTGTATCCCCCCCCCCCCGTCCTTTCTTTTTACCGTGAGGTAGACGAGGGCTGGCGGTGAGGAGGGAAACGTTTCT